AAAAAAAAAAAAAAAAAAAAAAAAAAAAAAACACAACATGAATTTAACTTGTAACGCATTATAGAAATGTAGTGTAGTAGAAAGTACAGATACTTAATATAAAATGTAGTGGAGTAAAAGTTGAAAGTACCCATATTTAACTCTACTTAAGTAAAGTACAGATACATGGAAAATGTACTTAAGTACAGTAAAGTACTTGTACTTAGTTCCATCCCACCACTGCTTTCTTGTTGGCGCTCCATGAACGGTCAGCCTGCTGTAACAACTCAAAGACCTGCAAGAACGTTCCTGACTGCAGACTCATGAGCAGAGCTGGAGCTGGGAAGGTTTTAATGCAGAACATGGAAATAACAACAAAACCATTTTTACTTTGTTTGTGGGTTAGAACATGTCCCACCCTCCCAGTTTGACTTTACCTCAGTTTGCATTAACGGAAACTTTGTAAATGTGATGATTTATTTTAAATCACAGCTGCAGATTTTGTGCTCATCAAATCTTTGATTATAAATTGTTTCGCTTTGACTTTGTTGTAATTCATTTCAGAAAGCAACAAGAAAAGTTCATAACCAGCATTTTGGTCCAAAACGATAAGTTAAAGACAAGTTACACAAATTAATAGAGGAAGATTAATTGTATAAAATAAAATAAAACCTCTTCTTGGGATGATGAGAGACAGACGGGCTGTAAGGATGCCCTGCAGGGACAAACCTGGAGGTCGTCTGTAAACAACAACAGCTGAGATGAAAACACAGCAGCCATGTTGAGGCGCGATCTCAGACTTGCTGCCACGAACCGACAAACGGATTTAAATATATTCATTTTCCTCCAGTCAGAGGAAACTAGCTTGTATGTCTGGTCAGGAGGTTCAGAGCTCGTCTCATGTTTGTGAATTTGATTTTTGAATTCATTTTGTTGGTTCCTTAAAGCTAAACGAAGAATCACTGACGTCAAACTTTAAGAGTTTAATTTGATTCTCTTCAAAATCGTTTCGTTTCACTCAGTTAATTGTCGTGTTTGAACTCGACTGCTACAAGTCAAATTACTGCAAACAGAAGAGGATCATGTCTTGGTCTTGAAAGGAGTTTATTAATTCATTCAAAGCAAATCAAGTTTTCTTATAAAGCACGTTTAAAAACCAACATGGACAAAGTGCTGCACGTTCATTGACGATATCTACCTGGTGAAATAAAAACTCAAAGATTTCCCCCCCTAACAGAACATTTCATGTCCCATGTGATGGAGAAAATCAAATATTTACAGAAATCAGAATAAGTTTATTATCATTGCACTGTAGTACATTACAGTGAGATTATGTTTGTACAGTCGTCCGAAAGACGGGTGGAGTGCACGTTGCTGCTCCTAAGAGCGCGACCTCTTGTTCTTTAGATAGAAAAGGGGAAAGGCCATGAGGAGAGGATAGTGGTGTTACAAAATAGCTCTCTTCACACCTTGTCCTTATTATAAAAATAAAAAAATAAAAACCAGCAAGCACATATATAAACACATTACATATACGTGGTGGATGGGTTAAATGCAGAGACTAATTTCGCCATTGTATGGAAACATACAGTGCTGACATTGTGATGACATTATTATTATTATTATTATTTGACGACAAGGTGAGATTTGTTCATGAAGCACTTCCAGATAGCACCATAGTCCTGATAAGATGTTCGGCCTGCTTCAAGGCCGAATGGGCGGAGTCAGATTCAGATAAGCCAGTTGTTCATTTTTTCAGGCAGACTTATTTCTCACAGCCTTGAGCTCTGCTGGTACATTTAATCCAAATTGGCCAGATTTGTGGGCATTTCACTGGTCCGTGCTTATCAGCGCCCTCCAAGGTCGTCCCCAACATGCTGGCGAGTCCCAGAAGCAGCAGGTGGCCTGCGATTCACACAAATCACTTCCATCTTACAGCTGAGCTTGTAAATCAGCTGATTTTGAGTGCTCGAAGCACAAACCAAACCTTCACATACGCTCGGCAGCTTTGCCATGGGCGAAACTGCTGCCGCCATCTTCATTAATCGCCAATAACATAGGTATCCAACGATGCCAAAAAGCAGAAACTCTGCCATCATGATTCCAATGATATAAACATCTTCGGCGTCCTCTTGAGACAATACGGAAAGGCACATCAACTTCCAGTCTCCCCACGGATCCATGACGTATCTTGCTGCGTGTGTCTCAGCGGGGCATGAGGGCTCTCCAGGACCATTTCGCTTCGTTGAAAAAATCTATCAATTGCGTTAAAAGTCCAGCTGACCAGATTTGTGACAGTAGTTTACGTTTTGGAAGAAGTGTAAATAGAAGCTCCGTTACACAAGACAGAGCAAAAAATCAGGAGGGAAACGGGAGAGGGAAGACAATCGTCCGACTTGCTCAAGAGCAAGTGAGGAAAAAAACACTGTTAGCTGACATGAACTATAAAACGACAAACACGTAAAAATGATTTTAAAGCAGAGACGGGAAGAGTCGTGGCTTCAGTCTCTTTATACGAACTCACGTTTACTGCTGTAAACACACATTCACATTATTATTGGTGTGTGTGTGTGTGTGTGTTTCACACGTCTTTTCAAAGACAAACAGAAAGCTCGTCAGACAACTCGTCTGGGAGAGAAGAAACGACAACACGCACAACATGTACACGTCACAGACACACACTGTGACAGGTGTGAAGTGTTCAGAATGTTACAGACAGGCAGAGCAGGAGGAAGCGCTGGAAGGGTGTGTGTTCATGTGTGTGAAGGTGTTACTCATGATGTGTGACAAAAAGATGCTCACGGCTTATTTTGATGAGAAAAACACAATTCCTGTCAAGTCAACGGGAAAATGGCAAACGGAAAGAACGTTTGCTTTGCATCAAAATTATTTTTATTAAATTGTTGCACAAGCTCCGACGTGGAAGTGACATCGCGTCAGGAAACTCAGATCTCCAGAAACTTTTTAGAAACTGTGCCGTGAATTTTATCAACAACAGTCTCAGCTCAGTGATTTTAGATTTGATTTAAAATCAAACAGAACGAGCCTTAAACAAATGTAGAAAAAGACCTCTTGCTTGCCGTACATGCTCCCAGTGAACAACAGCTGGACTTTAAGGGAACAATATATTTCAAGCAGCAGCACCTAATGATGATGGATGTCTTACCTGTCAGTTGTGATCAGAAGTTTGAGTAATATTAAATTAAAATAATAAAAATAGCACCAACCCCTCATTAAAAAGTACCCATGGTTCCCTGAAGGAGCCGCGGTACCCAGACCAGGCCTCATGACAACTACACCCTGTTGGTTGTAACGTTAGTAAGAAACCATCCAGAGGACCCGACGTAACTTTGTAGGATGTTTTACCTGGATTATTGAGCATGAACTTTGATATACCCCGTTAGTTTTACAAACAGGAAGAACTC